ATTTGCTTAGACAATAGCAGTGCTGTTTTTTCAGTACTTTTCTAGATCTTAGCTTTGTGATAGTACCAAAATTTAAAAGAATCTAGAAAACATTGAACATTAATATGTATAAGGTCACATTATTTCTTGCTACAGAGTATAGGGAGAATTAAAGGAAATTACACTGCAGTGACTCCAGAATAACTGACATGAGACAAAACAGCAATACCCTTGCTCTATCCAAACCCACAAACCCTCATAGCCTAACTGTTTTTTACAGAAACCTGCACAACCCAAGTTGTCAACTTTCTCTTCTCTGTGGAAAGAGAGGGTAGGAAAGCCAAGAGATAGGGAGGGAGACAGTTGCATGCATGTTTCTAAGGGAACCATCCTAACTGAATAGAGGAAGACTAACAAATAGCTATGGCTGCTTCTCAGATTTTTCCAAGTCACTCTGAAATAACTATGTGATGAATTTCTTGGAGTTTGCCATGTACAGTGTCCCTCACTATGAGGTGTTTTCCCCCAGAAGGAAATGACTGATGTCATGTTAACTATGACATACGTAATATAAAGACAATAACTAAAAGATAGAGTGTGACGTAGAGCATTGTCTATTCTTACCTGTGAATCTAAAGTGACTTCACTATTACTCTAGAAATCACAGAAAACTTGGTGTCACTGGAGTCAGTGGAGTTTTACCATTTATTTCAGTGGAGGCAGGATTTCATCTTAGATTTCTAAATTTTCACGTACCAAATATTGAAGACCCCACAAAAAGGAGTTTGGTGGACAAATCAATATATAGCACTCCTACAACCTTAAGCAAAATGCACATAGTAAGCCAACTGATTAATACCCACAAGCTACCAACAAAAGATGGAATATTTTATGCACCTTGAGCTTTTGATGCATACCTGATATGGAGATGCCCACTCAACAGATATTAATCTGTTAACTAAGCCATGGAACTAACTCAGAATCCAGAAGTCCAGGATGTCTTCTGGATTTGCAACTTCTTGGAGGAATTTCAAATGACATTGGTTCATAAAGGTAGTCAGTCTTCATCTGTAAAGAATACGTTATTGATGCTATCTTTGTAGTTTTCCTTGTTTAATGGTTTTCTAATTCAACATACCTTTATTTTCTTCTTGCTTACATACAAAGCAGAAGAATCACAAATATACCACTGCTTGTATATGTTACTTGACTGTAAGAAAGGGGAAGCTGATTATGCTTTTACAAATACTTTTTGGAATTAGAAATGCTTTGTAGATTATGTAGACAGAAAGGCAAAGTCTGTTCCTATATTATCCTTACTCTTTGGCCAAATGTGCAAGGAATTAAATTACAAGAGACAGATATAAAAAACAATGAAGAAGCAGCAAAAACTGGTTTTCCAAAGCACCCAGTGCTCCGGGATGCTGAGCTCTGGGAGTTCCTTCTGAAATCCCTGAGTCAGATGAGTCAGCTGTATTCAGCACCATGCATATTTGGGGATTGTGAAGCTTTCATATGTGTACTTGAATTTAAAGGGAGTTAAATCCAAGGTTTCCTTCATGAAATAACAAGAATTAAGTTGCCACAAACCAAGCAGCACTTGGCTTTTATGAGTGTACATTACAATACCCTCTTCCCCATTTTTTGCCAGGAGACTGCAGTTTCTAGACCTGATTTCTCTCTAGGGAATATTACGGTTTCTCTTTTCTCCATTACAGCACATGGTGCAGAACAGCAAACCAAAACAGCAGAAGAGCCCTGTTAGGACATGCAACAGTTTTGTAAACCATTCAACACATCAGTAACATTGATACCAAACACTGGAGAACTTTAGCATAGCACACCAACCACATACAAACATTCAGTTTCTCCTGGGAGAGTCGCTGCTCTCTCAGGAGAAGTCATGAACGTACAGATGTTCAGGATTTTTCTCCCAAAGCAAAGATGGTCACTCCAGGAGGAAAATGACCTGGCAACAACCAGGGTTAAATCACTCCCAGGAGAGTTTCTCTTGGGAGAGTGAATGCCTGTACAATTTCTCTTCTGAGATAAGCCACAGCATAGTTCTCTAGCATCTCCACGAGACAGTGTGTTGCTCACTGGACTCTACTGCTCTAGCTGAGCAGGGAGCAGAACACAACTCCTTCACAATCCCTACATTGTGCTGCAGAGAGACACAAGCTGACCCTAAACCATCTTGGTCAGCCAATCAGGGCTTTCCTGTGTACTGCTGCCATCTGTCGCCAGGCAGACTGAAGGAGCCTGAAGAGTGCATTAAGACATGTACATGGGGTCTCCTGGCTGTGCATCATCAGCAGCCTGCAAGCTCTCTGCTTTTCTGGGGCTCAGAACAGCATTCACATGTCTCTTCAGGCATCTCTGCATAAGTGTTTTATACCAGGAAAACAAACCTGGGAGAATTCTCTCGGTTCATTTGAATGTGTGTATGCAAGTAGTGTAAATTCCTCATTTGACTGGGGAACATAGCTCTTTTGATGAGATGCCAAGTATTTTGTTGTCACCTACCCTGGATTCCTCCAACAGGCAGAGGTGCAAACTGAGAACTGTTTTAAAAACAGCTGAAAGATTTGTCAAAAGAAAAATTTGACATTTTTTATAAGACACTTTTTTGAGCATGTTCCCTTTCTTACACACAATATAAAGGAAGCCTATGCAGTTTGATGCAATTATTTTTTATGAATGGAGTGGCTGAAAATATTAGAAAACAGGACAAAAATCTCTTTAAGAATTTAATAAATCGTGCAAATTACTGTGTATTTCAGAAGTAAAGCTCACCCTCATTACACTGTATTACTATCTCCTATGAGACTGTCTCAGTCATACTGTATAATAATTAAGTTCTGATGGCAGACTCCAGTGAGGCCAGCGTTGCCTTCTTCCCTCCCCTTGATATATACAATTTATTCCCACAAGAATAAATTGAAGAATAAAATTATTATAATTAATGGTTATTACCTTAATGCATAGGGCCAAATCATATTACCCTGTACAATAAACAGAGTAAGTAGTCTTTGTGTAAAGGAGTCCTAATAGAATCAAGAAGTAGAGCCCTTTACCATAGTGCTACAGGCAAGCACAACTTTAGAGGTTCCTGTAGTCTGTTCCATACCTATGCAACTGAACCCCCACAGTTCTGTAGCTTTTCCAGCCGTGATTCTCAAGGGGCAAGAAATAAGAGGCATTGGCCTATGGGTCTTGATACATTAAAGTCAATCTGTTTCATTGACTATGATGGTCTATGAGAGAGATGTAGTTAGCCATGTTAGTCTGAAATCAAGTAGAAGACATGGTAGATTTGCACCTTATAAAAGAATCTAGGCCATGTGCTCTGTACCATAATTTTAAGATTTCTGATTTTACTGCCAATTTCTGAATGCATCCTCTATACATACTGTATTTTGATCACATATTGCCCTACCTTTTTGGAATTGTTTTAATAAATATAGTAGGTAGGCTACGCAGATTACAGGGTGTACATCAAGTTACTTGATCTATTTTTCACCAGCAAATATATGATAAAATTATGCTTACATATAATTATACACAACTACTGACTTACTGATAATTAACTTTGAAAAACTGCTGGTTTAGGAGATATTATAGATTACTATTTTAAATGTAAGTAGCTTCAGAAAATCTCCCATGATCAGTGCAAGTGTAAGGTATTCAATGAAGGATTAATTCCCTAAACTACTAATCAGCTCTATCTCCCATCTTATCAAATTGTAAATACATTATGCTGTACTAAAGTAGGCACATGCAGCTAATTAAAGCAGAACCTGCATTTAATATCAGATCCTGGTAACCACCCCCACTCCCCCCTCCCATCATTAAAAAAAAAGTTCTGAGAACATATACAGCAAATGTTCACAAATGAAATTGATACCTTAAAACTGATGCTGCACTTCTGTAGTGTAGAAAATAAAAAGGAAGAAAAGGGTGGGGGGATACACAATCTTTCTGGAGGAATGAGTGGGGGACATATTAATTCTATTCAGTCTACAGCTGTAAGCCCACAGGAACCAACCAAGGGATTACAACCAAGCATCTACAAATAGAATCTGGAAAACATCCAGCTGGAATTTAGTTCATTTATTAACATTTTTAATAGATTCTGATGTTAAATGCCGCAAACCAAAATAAGTGAAAAAAAATGAAGAAAGCAAAGACATACATATTGTAAAAGGAATGTAGTAGACATTTAAACACAGAAGCTCAATGAAGCCTATGCAAATAAGCAAAGGTTTAAAACTCTAACTGAGCATGTTTTGTAAAACCTCTCTCTCAGTTCCCTTTTCTGCATCAAACTCAAATAAGGTACCACCGTCATAAAACAGGTTTTTAAAAAAAAACAAGCCTCATTAAGAAATACTTTTCAGTGAAACACACACAAAATGTAACACACAGTGCCCAGCAAGGAACCTTTCAATGAAAGTTATTTTTTAATTTCTTTGTGTAAAATGTAAAGTTTTTTTTATACTACTCCAAAAAAGAGACTTAAGCATATAGGATGCTATTACTCTGGGGATGTTTTGGTAGTACTGGGCAACAAAAGACCCATCAAGATAGAGTAGATATAGTGTAATGGAAGGCCATAGGGTCTTTGGGTCTCTTTTAAGGTGTGGGAGAGAAGAGGAGGGGGGAATCTCTTTTTCCCCCGCAACATCTGTACTTAGAAAAAAAAAAATCTGAGAAAGAAATCTAAGAGATTTACCAATAAAATCAATAAACATTTGCAGACTGCCGTTAGTGATACTGTTGAGATGTGGTAGAGTTACAGTCCTATTTGATCAGTGTTTATTACAGAGCTCATGTTTTTTTAATATAAGTAGATCAGAGAGGATTTTTTCCCCTCAACAATGCGTTCTATAGATTATACATACACAATTCTTTTGGAAGTTGGACAATTATCCAACTTCTTTTATTTAAACATGCAACTGGTATTGAAATCCAAAAACAGATCAGGTTGAATGAAAAAGTAACATCATATTTTCCCCCAGGTTAATCTGCTGGCTTTTGGTGTGATTATTTACAAAGTATTTCGACACACTGCGATGTTAAAACCTGAAGTTAGCTGTTATGAAAATATAAGGTAAGTTTCTCTTTTCTCTTTTGCCCTTTAGTCATTTTAAATGCAATCAGAGACGAAAGTGATCACTCTAAAATAATTTGAGCCCTCTCAGGGTTTTTTCCATTTCTTAGAGAGTTATTTCTCAGTTATCTCTTCAAATTTCTTTTAGGCTTGATCTTACTTCTCAAACAGTCCCACTGAAAGCGGTCGGGCTGTATGAGGAGTATACAGGCACCAAATAGAATGAGTTTCAGAATCCAGCCCTTTATCAATAAGAAGGGGAAAACCAATAATTGGGTTAAAGAAATAATTTTCCAACTCATTTTTGAGTTTCCAATCCTATCCCTCCTACTCAGGTAAAAACTGATTTCAAGAGTTTTGCCTGAATCAGGACTGAGAGATTTGTCCTTAAGAAAAGATGCATATAATAAATATCTGAAGAAGAAAACAAGGTGAGTTCTTGGCGATTCACTTTATTTATGAAGAAATTGTACAGTGGGGTTCAGTACTTCTGTGCTTTTTTTTTTCCCCAGGATTTTTACTTTGCATGCTGCTATGATTTTTCCATCAACTCACTCTCTTTAAAACTGATTTATAGGGACCTTGAAAACCATTTGTACAGGAAAAGCTGAAGTGTACTACAGGGAACATTGAAAACAACTTACTGTTTGTGTTGCTTAGAAACACTCCTGCAGTTTCAATGCATTGCACTAGATTTATAGTTAGGATTTAGCAATTGTTTGATTGATTACTTTCTCTTATTCCTCACCCTTCATAGCTTCATGTAGTGAGCTGGTTTTAATGAAGTTAAGAATTATTCATTTTCCTCTGAACAATGCTAAAAATGTCTATTGCTCAAAGGAAGTCCTGCAATGACTAGGCTAAGAATGAATAAGAAAGTAATCAGTGGTTTCATTTCCAAGACAACACACTGTAATTTGCTGGAGTCTGTGAGCAGAGCTGTACAATATGTTAGCAAAAATTACAGTCAATCAATTTATATAATATTAAGGCATCGGTATTCTGACCCTGAAAATATTTAAAGCTATTTGTGTTGTAAAAGCATTTCTTTTAAAGAGAGAAGTCTAGTTTTACAGCTGGCACCATCTTCTATATTAAACATGAGAGGAAGCCGTAAGATCTCTTTGATGTCATGCACATGTGCTGACCTAAGAGCATACTGTACATTTTTCTCCAGGTTTGGAGTGGGGGAGATATTTCATAACAGACATATGCTTTACCTTGGGGAATTACTCTAACAGTAGATTTAAAATCAAATCATATGGCACTGCAGTACACCAGAGAAAACATATCTGAAGATTAAGAAAGCCAGTGTTTTAAAGTCATGCAGCGTTAGTCTCATACTGTTCTATCATTACTGTGTCAGCATATTCCTGTAACAGTCCTGCAGCATACCCGAAAGGGCAAACCATGTAACTGCACGTTCGCAGGTCTTCACAATTGAGGAAATGCCTATGAAGCATTAGTCATTCAAATAAGTGATTAAGAAAAGAAAAGAAAAGAATACATGATACCCTGATGGTTATGTTTTACCTTGACCTAGGTCTTGTGCCCGGGGCGCTCTTGCTCTCCTGTTCCTTCTTGGTGCTACCTGGATCTTTGGGGTCCTCCATGTGGTCCAGGGATCAGTGGTCACTGCCTATCTTTTTACAATATTCAACGCATTCCAAGGGATGTTCATCTTCATATTTCTCTGTGTTTTATCTAGAAAAGTAAGTATCATCTTTCCTTTGGGAAATTTTTCATGCAAATATTAATATAGATAATCAGGAGCCCCATTCTGCATACTGAAGTCATTAGGGGCTTGCTTCCGTACAGGAAGTTACTCGTGTGTGTTTCCAGGATTGCAGGTCATACAGCACCAAGTTTTAAAAAACTGACAGCGCTGAAGTCAATGGGTATTTTGCTATTGACTTCAATAGGAAAAAAAACCCAGGTTCTTGCCTTATATATTTTTCCCAGGATTCAGATCTTCAAAACAACATATTTCTGAATACAAATGTTTATTACTATCACAAAATAATTCTTCCGGTAGAAATATAGGCTGGGAACTGGACTGTACAGATGGTTCTCCAGCCCCATGGCTGGAGAGCTTCACAAGCAAACTCTCCAGCCCCAGGGCACTAGCAGGCTGCTCCCTGGACCACTTCCACCCTTTGGGGAGCCCATTAATGATAGCCTGTCCTCTCCCTTGCCTGGAAAGGGGACAGGTATCAAGTGGCAATTGGCAGCTGCTGAAAAGACTCATTCCTTGCACTCCTCTTGGCTGAACTGGAGGAGTGTGAAAGGGGCAGGGAGTGTTTAGCCACCATGGCAAGAATCTGGGAGCAGCTTGCCTCACCCCAGGGTTGGCCCTGGGCTGCGTGCCTCCCTGGGCTGACCCAGAGGAGTGAGGAGTGAAATGAGGGCAGTGCCCTGGGGAGCCTTGCTGCTGCAGCACACCAACCTGCCTTGCCCTGCTCCACTGCAGGTCAGCTGGGTGGCAAGGGGAAGATGGCAAGGCTGGCACCTGGCTTGAGGAAAACCCACAGCCGAGGTTCCCGCTCGCTTCCACTTTTAAGTCATCACCTCAGCCACTCAACTGAGCAGTTCCCCATGCCTGGCCCCTGGTCTCTCCAACTTTTAAATTGCTGGCTCACTGTTCCCCCAACCCTCCCTCTGGCAGGCGGATGCAAGGGAAAGCTGTCCTGACTGAGAGTCGGGCTTGCAAACCTGGCTCACCAACCCTGTCATTCAGCTGAGTTGCATTTGGCTCCTGGGGCCTGGCCTGGGAGCTGCGTGGCTAAACCCTCACCTGCTTCTCACACCAGGAGCTCTGGTGTGAGAAGAAGGTGGGCAGCAGCTTGGGCTGCTCTTCCCCCTCCCCACTCATGGATGGGGAAGCAGCTGACCCCCATGCCTTTTCCAGCCCAGGATGACCCCAGTCTCGGGAGGCACAGGAACCTTTCCTCAAGCTCCCAGGTGATTTTTCTCCCAGAATGGTCATTTTTGCTCCAGGAGAAAAAGCTTGAACATTTGCACACTTTTGTTTTCTGCTGGGAGAATGGTGATTCTCCCTGCAGAAACTGAACATCTGTACATGGCCTCATTGTCAAAACGCACCACAGTACAGATACACCAAGGGGTCATTTAAAAGGTTAAAAAAGCTGGTCTTCAGCCTTTTCAGTTAGGATCTGGGTTGGGGCTGAGTGGCCTAACCTGTAGCATTGTATTCTGGGGTAATGTAAGCTTCTTAATTTTTTCCTAAAGTCAAAAGCAGCCCTACAATATTTAACAAATGTAAAACTGAGTAGACGGTACAGTGTAAAATGAATTAAGCATGCATTAACCTGTGAATAAATCTATGTCATGTTTGAATTCGATCTTTTTTATTTCAGATCCAAGAAGAGTATTATAGGTTGTTCAAAAATGTTCCTTGCTGTTTTGGCTGCTTAAGATAAATGGAAAGAAAATATGCATGAGCAGCACAATGGAAGACGGGAGTAACCTAGACATTGTTATTGTTATTATTACAGAAAATATAGCATTGTGAAAGTATGAAATGACCTAGTGAACATTCATAACCCTTAAGTGAATTACTGTCTCTCCAGTATAGTCCTTGTAATCATGCACAGCATTTCTACTGTACTGTGTACGTTCAGGATACATATACAAATCAAGCCGGATTGCTGTAAAACAAACAGAAGACTAAGGAAAAGGAACTGAATCCCTACAGGAACCAGAGACTCTTTTTGTAGCTTAGGCTTTATTTCTAATATTAGAAATATCTGTAGTTCATGAGAGAGAGAGAAAACTAACTGGCATAGCAGATTTTATGAATTGCTTTGCTAGTGGAAACATGCCCCCTGCATTTTTGTGGTAATAAGCTTCTTCACAACATATTGTATATGACGATCTGCAGGGACTGGGTTCCGTTACAGCATTAACAGATAAAGATCTGCTTGAAACCGGACTTTGGGGGGAAAAAAATTATTTAAAGGAGATTGAAAGAAGGTTTGGGGTTTAATATAATTTACTCATCATGTTCAAATATATATTTGTGTATTAATCAATTCTTTATTTTTTTAACTTTTAGGGAATTGTTATGAGGGCAGGGCTGATAAAATAGCTTGGAACAGCCATTTTATAAGTAACATTTATTTTGTGGAGCCCATGACAAATCTTTGATGCTTACTTAACAGTTGAAAACTGTGATATACTACATCTAGCACCACGACTTCACATACTGTAGGAAAGAGATGCCATCTCAAGTTGGCACTTCATAGAAATATTGATGACCTTGCTCTTATTGGTTAAATTAAAATAAATTACATGGTCTAAGCAATGCAAGTGTAAAATTAAGGGCACATGCTGCAGTTTCAATGTAAAATATATTGTAAATATAACAAACTCTCTGCTAATAGCTTCCTTTATTACAAGCAGCACTCTTCTGTTCTGCTCCTGATCCAGCAAACGTTCAGTCCTATTTACTTAAATTTAAGAATATAAGAAGTCCTTGAAATCAGTGGGACTGGTATTGTAAGTTTTGCAGGATCCAGACCTAAGTTGTTGCATCAGAAAATCTAAAATTGTGATGCAATTCATTTTCGAAGCTGTGCTGTCATTTCATCTTTTTAAAGTCCTGGCCATGTCAGCCCCCTCAGTTCTCATTGCTTTCTCAGGAAATAGTCAGGACCTTTGAGAAGCAGGCCAAACATTATTACCAGTGTGAGCATTGTAAATATATAGCTGTTTATAAGTTTTATTTATACCAAAAAAATCTTTTTAGCCATGGTCAAATTTGTTTGGCTTGTATCTACTTTCCTTACAAAAAAAACCTTTAGTTACAGTATGTGCCTTATTAAAGATATTGTATGTCTCTGCCAAAATAAGGAAGCTCAAGTGGTAATTTTATTTATTCCTCCCAGAAAGAGGTAATTGCTGTTGGTCACCTGTATATAAAATATGTTAATAAACTGAAGAGCTTTTGCTTTACTATTTCACCATATTTTCTTTAGTTAATTAAAAAATAAAATAAGTTTTATAGCTTTATATTATTTTGTCTGAATGTTTTTCTGGATCTGCTTTGCTAGCTGTATTTTTTTTCAAGCTGTGGAAATACACAGACACTTATACATGTGTTTCATAGGCATGTCTATTAATCCATTGTCATTAATCTCATACAAAAGTACAGTCTGTACTAAACTTTCCTTAGCAAAGAAACACCTCTGCTAACTGCAAAATGACTTCCATAAGCTCATTGAGACTGAAAAGTTACCTTTGAAAGAGACTATCTGACAAACTGTTTGGGTTACAATAGACTTTTTAATAAAAGAACTTCTAAGGCAAATTTCTGTTCTCCAATCCATGGATCAGATCTTCATTATAATATTCTACTTTCTTTTCACGCAGTGATGAGAGTATTCACCTTTTAGTACTAGATTTGCTAAGAAGGATCCAGGAAAGTAAAAAAAACCAGAATATTTTGTCAAGATACATCATGTGGCTCTTAGAACATTTGTCAAACTTCAGGAGCTTCGGGATAATATCTTGTCCCTACTAACGCACTAAAGACGAATGTAACTTTTAATGAGTATCTTTGTCTCCCTCCCAGCATAAGTCACATTTCAGTAAAAAATCTTCCTTCACCATTCCCTCTGCAGAGAGAGCCCTTCTCTCTTTTTGCGTCACGCACCAGGCCTCTCTATGACCATTTGGAAATAACGCTTAGACACGCAGTGAGATAGCCAGTCTCCCATTTACTATTCCAGCCTGTTTTTCTGTTCTTCAGTCTGTAGCTGTCTGTGATATATGCCAGATTCTGTGACAGGTACATACTGCTACTGAGGGGCAGAGAGGGGAAGAACCAAGCAACAGGGGCAAGATGATCAAGTGAGCCAGCAGGATAGATAAGTTAGTTTCTGGCATGATGGAGCCATGAGCAAACTAATCCTGAACAAGGCCCAGCTTTCATAGAACACAATGCCTCCACTCTCACTGCCCTGAATCCCTTGGAAATTAGCTAATCCCTAGTTACATCTACCTGAGAAATAGCCAATTTCCTATGGATTAATTTGTTTAATTAATTTTTTGCTATTCATTTGTTTCACTTGGGTAGTTCTTGCATGCAGAGTAATTACTGTTGTGAATATTCAGCTAACCAATGAGTTTGCCAGTAGCCTCCTGTGAGAGATTGGCTTAAATTTTACAGAGCTTTTTGAAGGACACTTCCACAATAGATTAAAAAAAAAAAATTATTACTCAGAAGGTGCATCTACACATGCATTTGATCCCGGATCAGTTTACTCATGAGTAAACTATTCACAAGTAAACACTCTGGGGCAGTCACCTATACATGCAGGGAAGCCGGAGCAGATTTGCTGCTAATGCAGCAGATTTCCTGCCCCTGTAATGAGCGCCTGCTGCCACCAGGGGGAGCTCTAGGATCTGCCAGTGCCACCCCTGCTGTCGCAGAGCTGGCGCTGGGAGATAGGGGTCTCCTAGCTCCCTGCTCCCCAGTTGTGATGGTGAAGCAGATGCTGGTAGGTAAGGATCTCCCAGCCCCCACTCCCCAATAAGATCTTGGAGTAGAGGGCTTGGAGCTCCCTGCTGCTGGGGTAGGGGGACATAGTTCCCGCCTGGGCTGTGGTGGTAGATCCCACCCCAGCAGCAAGCAGCTCCCAGGGGCAGGAAACAATCTTCTGCCCCCTAGTGGCCAGCTGATCAGGAGCAGATTTTCTCCCAGTCAGGCATCTATGTAAGTGCTACTGCACCATTAGTAATTGAAAGTAAATTTGCTACTTGCATTTGCAGGTAGAAAATGTACTCGTGATTAGTGGGGTTTATTGTGCAGTAAGCATGTGCATGTGTAGATGCACGTGCTTACTGTGCAGTAAACTATGCTACTGTGCAGTAAAGCATCTCCTGTAGACACACCCTGAGAGACCCCAATCTTGCAAATTTAAGTGTCCATACAGGCTTTGTAGGATCATACCCTTACTGAATGGAAAGTGCTTTATATTTAAAGATAGGTGTAACAACAGGATCAAACTGGGTGCATATACACATGCAATTCATTTAAAGCAATAAACTGAGCTTTAGTAAACAGCATCTACATATGCACCCAGGACAGCAGCAATTTGAGCAAGAGCAGAGCAGCTTACGCCAGGGTCAGGGCACCAGAGTTCAGCCCTGGGCTCCGGGGTAGCAGCACTGGGCAGCAGAGGGGCTGACTCGGGCATGAGGGTGCTGAAAGTGTGGAACAGTGTGACTAGGTGGCAGGCAGGAGTCCCCCACCCCCGTAATTTACCCCCAGGGTCAGCATCTACATTTAATCATAGTGCATTTAATCATAGTAAATTATCCTCAAATAAGATAGTACTGTCACTGGCAGTACTATCTTATGGTGGCATTAGTGCTATCCTACTGTGGCCTAATAATATCATACATCTAGATGCTGATGCTTTACTCCACAACTAGTCTACACCACAGTTAAGCACACATGTAGATGTGGCCCCTGTGTTGTTTTATTCATCACTGGATACATCTGAAATGGAAAACTAAAATCATTATCAACCAACACATCTTAATCTATTAGAAATAATGAGATATGAATAATAGAACTAGCAAAGAATCTATGGTTTGATAGGATACAAATAAATAAATCATGTACTCCTTATAGATGGCCTGCATGTCAAGTCATAAATTAGTACTTTTTTCTCTTGTACTTTTTTTATCTTCTTAGTGGCAATTTCATAACTATTATTCTGGGTTTAGAGTCATTACAAGAAAAGTGCCATTTGCTTACCTCAGATTAAATTCATGGAATGCAAGAACCAAGAGAAATAGTCAAGTGAAAAAGAGCATTTGGATATTGTCCAGGACTTTCTAAAGAAGCTTGTGTTCAGGTGAGTTGAATGAAATGTACAAACTGCTTTTCCAATAAGAAATCTGCATGTCCTGTTTCTCTGGCCAACTGATAACCGGTTGTCTGATTTGGGAAGGAAAAGCCTTTTTTTAAGATCTTTTCAAACAATGAGATTCTGAAAGGTGTATGGCACCTCCAGGTGGTCCAGCAGGCAAAAACACCAGTGAAAAAGACAGATAAATGTAATGTGTTAATATTTAATTTTGAAATCATGTGCTTGCTGGGAGAGGGTTCTATTCCAACCCTCCAAAAGAGGTGCTTATGACAATACTAATATTTGGAGGTGTGCTATAAAACAGAAGCAAATAAGAACTAGATGGAGAAGGAACTGTTTATTCTGAAAATAAATTATTCCTTTCTCATTCCTCAGTGCACTGAAAGTAAATTTCAAAGCAGCTGCAGCATTTGGGGTTAATTATCTTCACAGTGAGATTGCAAGAGCAGAGCAACACTGCAAAGCAGACTCCCCTAATCATTGCCTGCTGTGAAAAAACAAGTCCTGCCACCCCTTAAGTCCCACTTGGCAAGCATGGACATTACATTTACAATACTCTATTAATATGAAGATATTTATTTATTTGGGACACTACATTATTTAGAAGGGAAAAGTAATTATATTTGCAGATTCCACATTCCTCCCTCCCATGTCCCACTCTGAGTGATTATTTTCTATTTTACATATAAATATTCCCTACATAAATTCTGTAGCTGCAAAGTGGCCTGCCAGAACACAAAGTTCTGCTGATACAGAGCCTTATTCAGGATAAAGTTCTCAGTTTCACTCACAGAGATTATTCTCTCAGTTGTATGGATGTGTAATCTTCATAGGGCACATCTACACGTACATCTTACTGTGCAGCAATAAATTCTGACTCAGATCACACCAGAGTTTATTGCTCCTCAGTGCTGCATTTACATGTGCACCCAGGACTGCAGCACGTTGAGCCGGATCAGAGCAGCCAGAGCTGGCAGGGAGCCCAGGGGATCAGCCTGCCAGCCTGGGACTGCTCTGACCCAGCTCAACATGCTGCAGAGGGCCAGCTGGGGCCCAGCCAGCTGGGTCAGTGTCTACTCATGAGCTGCTGCGCACGAAAAAAACCAAAAAATCTTTGCAGCAGGTAAGACGTATAGTTACATTTACAAGTTCTAACCTGCTACAGAGTTTATTCATTTCCTGAGGCTTAATAAGACCACACATATAGATGCCAAGACACTTACTGAAGAACTTAATTAGGCAACTCTGCAGTAAACGTCTCATGTAGATGCACCTATAGGGTACTTAATACTGTCTTCTTTTATGGGACTGCAAGAAATAGAGAGAGAGTTTCATTATGAAACAGGTATAAGAAACCTAGAAAATCCCTAAGAACTGGCCCTCAGCCTCGAGACAGTGTGGGCAAGTCCCTGCCCTCCATTTCATATCTGCTTATCCCCAGAAGCAGGTGATTTGAATGACACATGGTGCTTTTCTGAACTGCCATGACTGGGCAGTTAACATTAGGGGCTATAGGCTG